TGGTAGTCTAAACAGACCCTGAATTCATGATTATTTCTTGAAAGTTGATTATATGCTAGACACTGTTTTAGAAGCTGGGGATATAGCAGGAAACAAAAAATAGTCTCTACTGTCCTTAAACCTGTAATCGAGTGGATGGAGACAGGCTGTCAGGTGATGACAAGTGCTAGGAAGAAAACTAAAGCAGGGCCAAGGGATGGGTGGGTGGTGCTATTTTAGATAGGTTAGCCAGAGACTGTCTTTTTCAAATGAGTGCATTTGAACAGGGACCTGAATCAAGTGATGGATGGAGCAAGTCATATGGGTATCTGGAGGAAGATCATTCCAACCTAAAGGAAAAGCCTTAGAAAGGTTGCTTTAGAAGCGGGTCTAAGAACAGCAAGGGAGCCAATGTGGCTGGCCCGGAGTGAGCCAGGGAAGAGTGGCAGGCAGTGGGGCCAGAGAGTTGCCTGGGGCAAGGCTAGGTAGGACCTTATAGTGAGGGAGGTGGGAAGCCACTGAAGGTTTTGAGCAGAATAGTGATGTGATCTGACTTAGGTTTTAAAAGGATCACTCTGGTTGCCATGGTGTTGAGTAGGGAGGCAAGAGAAAAAGCAGGGAGACCAGTTAGGAGCCTCTTGTGGAAGTCCAGGTCAGGGAGGTAGTGGTCTGGCTGGGGGAGTAGTGTTGGAAATGGGGGGCGGGGGACAGAACCAGATTCTGGGTATATTTCATAGATAGAACCAAGAGGATTTTCTGGTAGATTGAATGTGGGGCATGAGAAAAAGTAAGGAGTTAAGGATGACTCCAAGTTTTTGTCTGTTTGTTTCCTGAGCGACGGACAAAAATGGAATTGGCATTTACTAAGATGGGGAGAAGGAGATTTTGGAGGGAAATCAGAAGTCTGGTTTTGGACATGGTACATTTGAGATCTTGTTAGACACCCAAGTGGAGATGTCAGGTAGGTGATTAATTGGTGACAAGAGTCTGGAGCTCAGGAGGCCAGGTTAGGTATAAAATAAGGCTGTGGTGGGAGTGGAACCTGAGGACTCAGTTCATTCCATAGGTCTCATCCTGTTCTAAATAAATGGTTACAAAGTCTTCACCAGCCCTGGAGTCTACTGAGCATCTGAGGCATGCTTTGAGCCAGGGATTGCCCAGACCATGGATGGAATAGCTCCCATCATTTCCCCGGTCCAACTAGCAATTCATTATTAATCAATGTTTAGCAAGTGCCTACTACAGGCCAGGCACTGTGCCAAATGTTGGGTATTCAATGGAGAACAAGACCTGCTCCTCGGTCTCATAGAAGGTTGAGGGGATTGTAGGGGATTAGGACAAGAGAAAGGAGATCTCAGGACAGTGCAATGGGGGAAAGTATAGGGTGCTATTGGACACAAAGGGGAGGCACCTGATTCAGTCTTGGAGGCTCGAGAAAGTGCTAGCTAAGCTGATTCCTGAAGAATGAGTAGGGATAGTCAGGTAAAGAGGTGAGAGAGGGGTGGAGAGTGTTCTAGGCAGAAAAAAGAGCACGTATCAAGTAAAGAAAAAGTCTGTTCAGGCAGAGGACAAAATTTCTGTGTGGCATGTTTGGAGTGCAGAGTGAAGGGGGCAGAAGCAGAGAGGCAGGTAGTGGCTGGAGAATTAATTAGAAGCCATACCATGAAGGATCCGAATGAGCATTGCTGGGACTTTATTATAAAAGCTATGGGAAGTCTTTGAAACGTTTCAAGCAGAGGAAAGAGGCCATAGTAAAGAATGAATGGGGGTGGGGGGTAGGAGGTGGGGGTTGGCGAGGCTGGAAGCAGTTACATCAGGGGATTGGGGATAGTGGCAATCTCAGACTCATACTGCCCTAAAAATCACTTATAAATGTGTCCATATAATGAGAGGCAGAGCCGGGGTCTGCTTTGCTTAACCTCAGCTCATGGGAGATGCTCTCCAAGAAGCTAATGACTTTGATGGGAAAGAGGTCCAAGATGCCTGCATTGTAATAGGGGGCTAGGGTATGGGAGGAAGCAAGGTGAAGGGCAGTTCTAGGACAGGACAGCCTCCAGGAAGGGTAAGCTCTAGTCATAGGGGAGTCAAGATGGCAAACCAACAAGGTAGTCTTTCTACAATTTGCTTTGTGTAATGTGTATGCTATTCAGTGTGTCTTTAGGACAGGGCCTGGATTCTTTGTGAGGGTGCTAAGTGCTGGGTATGTGTTTGGTAATGGCTGTTTGTGATGGGAAGTTCTCTCCGAGTCTGTGTTAACGTGCAAAACTCTGGAATGCATACTGTGCAAGTATGTACCTGCCGAGGAAAGGGGTATGCGTGCGGCACGCACATTGGGAGAGGGCACATGCCTTTTGCTGGCCTGGGTTCACAAGATTGTCTCAAACAGCATAAGCAGCGGGTTCTGTTCAAACTTAAGAGATTCTTTTGGTTCACTTTGCACACAGCAGGAACTCACATATTTGTCAAGTGAATTTTATTAAAGTTCAATCATTTGGGGAAATATAGAGGTTTGGTTACAAATTTGAACTAGATGGTTTTTTTTTTTTTTTTAAAGATTTTATTTATTTATTTGACAGAGAAAGACACAGCGAGAGAGGGAACACAAACGGGGAGTGGGAGAGGGAGAAGCAGACTCCCTGCCGAGCAGGGAGCCCGATGCGGGACTCGATCCCGGGACTCCAGGATCATGACCTGAGCCGAAGGCAGTCGCTTAACCAACTGAGCCACCCAGGCGCCCTGAACTAGATGTTTTAAGAAAAACTCAGCCCAGCACCAACATCCCTTTACAAAATCTAGCAGTTGAAGCACTGTCATGGAGTTTATATGCTAGTTGGAGTCCTACCTCGTGTAAAAAGCTTTCACTATTTCATATTATTCAATGAACATTTACCGAACACCTCTGCCAAATAGGCAGTGCTGGGCTGTAGCGGCCGAACTCACCTCCCTTTCCTCTGAGCCACCTTAGTCTGGATGCAGCAATTAAAGCTTAATTATATGCTATCTTGTATTGTTCCTTAATTGTTGCATATGCAAGAATCCACTTTCAACTGGGCTGTATGTTGCTTGCGGGCAGGGACTATATTACAAACGTCAGGATAAGTGAGGAACTTAGCAGAGAGGTTGAGTATACATTGTTTGAGGCATAAAGGAAAAAAGAACGTTAATCTATTTATAAGCCGTAGTAATACATAATATATAAAATACCTTAAGAACAAGGGAGCATATGTTATTGTTAATTTACTAAAATACTCTTTTAATAAAATGTAAAATTCGAATCTGCATTTTCATGTTAAGGAAAGGTTTTTGTGCATTAATAGAATTGCTGTGATCCCTACCGTGGCTTCATTCTTGTTCTTTTAAATTCAAAACAAGAATGTTTCCTTGAGGATGAGAGTTGAAAGGTAGAATCAGTCTTTGGTGAACTATTTGAGAGCAGAATTATCCTAGAGCAGGATTTCTCAACAGTGGTACTCCTGACATTTTAGACCAGGTAATTCTTAGTTGTGTGGGGCTGTCTTGTGCATTGCAGGGTGTTTTTAGCAGCATAGTTAGATGCGAGCAGCACTTCTCCCCTCCTCTGTAAACCACCGCCCCCCCTTGTGTCCAGACGTTGCTAATGTCTCCTGGGGGCAAAATCGCCCCCAGTTGAAAACGTATGTCCTATAAGAATTTGGTTCTACTCTGGTATTTTTCTTATGTAACTAATGGTGGGAGAAGAGGGAAAGGAAACAATATTGCTTATTTGGTATGAGCTAGGCACTATACCTATGCTTTCTATTTCAGCTTACAGATAAAGCAGCTGAGGTTCAGAGAGATAAAAATCTGCTATCACAAAGATAAGGCAGTAAAATCAGGATTGCAAACCAGGCTTGTCTGACTGCAAAGTTTAGTCCTTTCCAGAACACACCGCACTGCCTCCCTGCAAGAAAAACAGCATACCTCAAGTTGAAGAAGTGCAACAAGTATGTCCAAAACTATTTAAAACTTTTGGAGGGAGGGGAATTATTTCTTCTATTCCTTACATTTACTTGAATATAAATGTATATTACCCATACCTATAGACACTGGGGCCCCTCAATACCGTTGTAACTCTGTGGTCTTATCTCTGAAAAACATAGAGCAACACAATGGAACAGCTTCAATTCTCCTTGTTACAAATTATACAAAAGCCAGAGCCTAACGGTGCCAAAAGCAACTGGTATCGTTTACATAAGGGCTGAAAGCTAATAGTTAACTTTCTTTCATTTAATTCCAGAAAGAGTAAATAACACCTCACTTTACAACTACGAACGGGTAAAAACCGAGTAAAATGTCATAAAATGGAGAAGAAACCATTAACCCAAAAAGGAGCTGGAAAGGTTGGTTCCAACGCTCCCTCCCTCTCGCGCTTTCGCTTGCGCTCGGAGCGGGTACCGGCTGCGCGGCCTGGGTCTCTATCGCCCCCGCCAAACTCCCGTCCTTGGCGCCCAGAGCTCTCTGGCTTCCTTTCCCGCCCTGGGGCGAGCTCGGCCTCACGGAGAAGCCCATCCCGGAGCCAGGCCTGGAAAAACAACAGCAAGAAACTTTGGCTCGGTTTGCGGGTCAGTGAAAAAAGGCCAACACTCAAGTTTGGTTTGGGGCTGCAGCCGCCGGTTCCGATTTTGGGGTGGGGGTGGCGGGGTGTCACAACTCGGTCAGGTTCAAGTGCGCATGTGCGTGAGGAGTCGCTCGGGCACTTATTGAGCGCCCACTGTCTACGAGCGGCCGGGGGTGTGTATCCCCGGCGCGCGGTGGGTGTGTGAGGAGGCCGCGGGGGCGCGAGGCGGGCGGGGGCGCGCAGGCCGCGTGCGCGCGCGGCGCCTGCGGCTGGGGAGGGGGCCGGGCGGGCGGGGGTGTGTCCCCGAGGCTCGCTCGTTCGCTCGCTGGCTGGCGCGCTCCTCCGCTCCCTTCCCGGGCGGGGAATCCGGGCCGGGTTGTGGCCGCGGCCGCGTACGTGAGCGCAGTGTCCCGGAGAGGGAGGGCAGGCCGGCCAGGTGGGCGCGAACGGAGCCTCGGCGGGCGGGCGGCCGGAGCGGAGCGGGGCGGTGGGCCGCGCCGGGTGGGCGGGCAGGGGCCGCGGCAGCTGCAGCCCCGAGCCAAGCCGAGCTGTCCGAGCGGGAGCTGCCCGGCCCGCGCTGCTGCTCGTGGCGGGGCGAGGTGAGCTGCGCGGGGACCTGGCGGCGCTGCAGCCCGGGGACGGGGGCGGCCCGGGAACTTCCCACGCTCCGCACGCCCGCGGGGGCCGGGCCGGCGGCCTGAGGGCCCGGGAGGCGGGCGCCGCCGGTTAGCGGCCGGTCGGGGCGCGGGGGCGCTGCGGCAGTGCCAGTGCCCGCGCTGGCTGGGTGGGGGGTGGCCGCCCGCTCTCCCGTGCGCCGCCTTGTTTATCTTGCCCGCCGCGGGCGCTCGCAGAGGCACCCCCTCCCCAACTTGGAGCGCTTGTCCGGAGTCGCCTCTCCGACGGAGACTGACCTGCCCCCTCCCTGACCCTTTCCGGCTGGGCCGGCAGCCCAGCCCTCCCGGCGCCCCGCGCGTTCCTGCCCACTCCACCGAGCGGGCGAGTGCCGGGCTCCCGGACGCGCGGGGCGACACACCCTCCACCTCGGGGGGCTGCCCCCCACCCTTTCTGTCCTCTTTTGTCTACCCCCACTTCCTTCCAGGCGGTTTAATCCTGCCTCTCCTCACCGGAGGCCCCTGGCCCTGCTTGGAAGCGGCACTGTGGGCATGTGGGGTGCTCGGGTGGGGGGCCTGGACTGGGAGTTGGTCATGTGCAAACAATTTCAAAGGCAGAATTTTCTTCCCTGTCTTGGAGTTAAGGGCTCCGCGCCTTCACTTTAGGATTGACTCCGAAAGCTAAAGAAGCCCACCTGCCAGACGGTGGGGGTGCCCCTGCCTCCTTGATTTCAGGCGGTCCTGGGCAGTTCTCGGTGGCTTTGGAACATTTCCACCAGGCAGGCGTTTTCGTGATGTCAGGCCTCCAGGCGCAGGGTTACCTACAGGGCACCACTCTCTTCTTTACACTCCTCTTTCTAGAAAAGTGTCTCTGGTGCAGTTTGCCTGAAAGTGAGTGATCAACAGGTATTGAAGGCTTTTTTGACACCCTCCTGAGGTGTTGTGTAAACAGAGGTTCCGGGTCTCAAGGAACTTGAAACACGGGGAACCAGCAATTAAGTTCAACTCCACAGGTACTTTTGAGGGGCTGCTGCGTTCTCAGCACCGTGCCAGGCTCTCAGGGAGAGATGATAAGAGGCAGACAAGAAATCTAAGGCCTCAGAAATCCTACTGACCGGGTGGAAGTGATTTGAGAGCTCAAGTTCAAATTAATGCGCTATGGCTGCCTAAATTACTGTAAATGCTGGAGGGGGGGGGGAGGAGGAATATCAAAGGAAAGGTTAGAGTTGGGGAATGGATTGAGGGTACTAAGTTACGAAATAAGTTAGGCACTTTGAGAATAACTCACTGGCCAAGGCCCAAAGGCAAGCGAGGGAGAAGTGACAGGTGCCAGAGGAGACTGGGTTCCAACAGTTTATCTCGGTGAGGGAGGATGCAAAAGATACCTGAAATGATTCCTTTCAGGGTTTATAATCTCATGGAGGAGACAGAAAGCCTTGAGCATGTGAAATAAGACCTCAAGATAAGGCACAATTAACTGTCAAAATTCGAGGTGTAGCAGAGATGCTGTTGAAACTCAGAGAAGAGGTCTATGGGCAGGAATCACCAGCACTGTATTCCTGGAGCATGAGACCCTTGAGATGGGTCTTGAGGTGCGATTGAACATGGCTTTCCTGAGAGACAGGAGATGGGCTTGGCCAGATGAGGGAACGTTTCCTGAGCAGGAGATAAAGATGGAGAGGAACAATGGCTAAGATTGTGAAAGTCCTAGAAAGCCAGACTGGGGAATTGCACTTTACCCTGTGTGTACTGGGGAGACATGAAAGGTTTTTGAGCCAGAGAGTGACGTAATGAAAGGGTGTTTGGAAAGGTTTGTAAAAGTAATGTTCGGAGACAGATCAGTCAACTGTTACAGTTGCGGAGCGCTCAGAGCTTGGACTGGGATAACTGGAAATGAAAAGGGGGTGGATTTTAGAAGCATTACTGTTGAAATAATCTGTTGACAGGGGCAGGGTGAAGGAAGGAGATGAATGGAAATTAATTCTTTGTGGAAATTGATTACACGCCAGGGCCTTGGAACTGCTGTAGTTGGTAACTCGAGAAATGGGAAATGTGTGTTTTGGAGAGAAGCAATTGACAGGCTGCAGAGGTTCGTATTTGCCAAGACGTCCAAACATAGGTGTCTTGCAAGCAGCTGAAGCTCTGAGATTGGTGGGAAACCGGGCTGCCAAAGCTGGGAGAGGGAAGGCACTCTGCATGGGGTGTTTTCTTGGTCATAGGTCCTAGCACTAGAGGACGCTAGTGAGTGGCAGCGAGGGTCTGAATTGGAAGACTCTGTTCTGTATTGCCATTCAGATGACATTGCCAGGTCCTGAACCTGAAGTTGGCAAAGCAACTTGGGATTTGGAGATGGGAGGGAAGAATGGAGTTTGCTAAGTGCAGAAATTGTTGGGCTTTGAAACAAATTGAATAATGCTCTCCACTGAGACCTGCAACCTAGTCCTCGTGTCCCTTCGTAGGTGTGTGCGGGGGGGAAGCCACAAGATGCGGGAGCAGCAAGGTGACCAGCAAGGAGGGAATTTGGGGCCTAGCGAGACTGCCTGTCCCAGGGCCAGGTCTGTCCTAACCTGTGCCATTGCCGGTTCCCAGGAACCAAGCGACCTGCAAGTGGGGAGCTGGCGCAGGTTTTTTCCTGAGCTCTGAATTCTGCTTTCTTGTCGCAAGGGTGACTTAGGGTGATTTGCTGAGCAAATTCCCCAAGCCTCAACTTGCAACATCTGAGGGCTGGTGAATTTGGAGGAGGATTGCAAAAAGTTGCAGAATGGAGTGGAGAATGTGCTTACAGTTCCTGAGCCTCCTTGTTTCTCTGAGGTGCTGGATCAGTGAACTAGGGGAAGCTGCTTTGCATGGGCAGAGGCGTCCATCAGATATTTTTCCTTTATAGGGAATATATGACTGTCAAAAAAAATTCATGGAGCAGTGGTTGAACTAATTTACTCTTTAAGAAGTAGTGTTTGTTTTTTTTTTTTTGGCACTGTTTTTGTCTGTGACCTACATTAAGAAATAAAATTTACATCATGACCTAGGTACATTAAATCATGTATATAAAAATCTAATTTAAGGGCGCCTGGGTGGCTCAGTTGGTTAATCGACTGCCTTCGGCTCAGGTCATGATCCTGGAGTCCCGGGATCGAGTCCCGCATCGGGCTCCCTGCTCAGCAGGGAGTCTGCTTCTCCCTCTGACCCTCCTCCCATGCTCTCTGTCTCTCATTCTCTCTCTCGCAAATAAATAAAATCTTAAAAAAAAAAAACTAATTTAAATTCCTGAAGTATTCCTTTCTTTTGTTTGGTGCAATCTCCTTTGATTCTTTATTTTCCATTCTTTGATTTTTCATTTAAAAATGCTTACTGTCTCCTGCTAAGTTGACTTAACCACTCTGTCATGGATGTAACCCACGGTTTGGAAAACACAGTTATAGAGAGTTTTCACATCTAGTAAGTGTTTATTAAGCTGCTTGTGTGCAGGGCTCCCCTTACCAGTGCTGTAAGTGGAAGGAAACATAAGGCAGAGATTGAACATTTACAGGCTAGTTGGAGAGAGAAGGTATACCTATGATTAAGGAACAAGGCAAGATGATTAAATGCCAAAGTGAAAAATAAGTCCCTGTAGGGTTCATAGGAGGGGGCAAGCAGCTTGTGCTGGAGTGGCTTGGGAACACTTTTGGGGATAGGGAAGGAAGTCTGGGATGAACTCGGGGTGTCGCATGGTGCCGCACAGGTCGGGGGGTATGTAACGTGGACAGAGGCTTGGAGTTAGGATGTGCACAGTGTGTGTAAGAGTGAATAAAAGAGGGTTCTTATTAGAGAGGGGGGAGAAGCTGGTCTAGAAAGGTAGGTTAGGATCAAAGTGTAGGGGTTGTAAACCAGTGACCCAAAGAATGTGTTCTGCCTACAGAAATGTTACAATTTGGAGTATACAAGGGTTTTAAAGAATTGGGAACAATCCAGAAAACCTCTGGACTGGGGACTCTCATAAAAGAATCAGATCAGGCAGTGAGTAGTGGCGGCCCCCTGTGGACAGCAGACAGGCCTTGTGGTCCCCAGTTATCGTAGTCCCGGCACCCCCTCTGCATGAGTACAGTCTCTTTACATTCCCTGTTTAGTCTGCAGGCCTTTGGGTTTGTGATCTGATCTTTCAAGAGACTTAAATGCCAACCTAGGGAATTTGGGATGGCTGTCCTGGCTCTGGGTGGCTGGGAGTGTGACATGATGGAATCTGAGATATTTGTGTGCAAGTGATTTGTTTTAGGCAAGTCAGCGGCACTTTCTGAGTTGCTGCTGGCTAGGACTTTGAAATATTTTTTCTGATGATTGGAATGGTACTAACTAGAGAGGGCTTTTGGGCTCTATTCTGTATTGTGAGGCCAATTTCTAGTGACCCCAAGATCTCTCAAGCGCTTCCGTTTTCTGCTTCTGGCTGGCATGGGTAGATGGGGGCTCCTGGCACGGATCTTCTGAGAATGATGTTGGGGTAATAATTTGGTAAGATGTGCGTCACTACTGTCAAATGCCATATGACATTAGAGTCTCAGGATCTTTGGTTATATGAGTCAGTAATAAAGGAACAGCAAAGAGAGGGACTGTGTCATTTCTTACTTCCCTATTCCTAGGATACCCCCAAGGGGTAGGCCTCTAGGGTCCAGAGATTCATAATCCAGGATTCAAAATGACCACAGAATTACTGGTTCAAACCCAGGTGTTAGTGCAAATGACCCCTGGAAAACTAGGCTTATTTGGGGACCAGCTGAAATGAGTAAATTCAGGTCTGTGTGGTCTAGGGACAGTTTGGTTTACCCCCCAAGACCATAACCACCAGTGATTCCGAGCATTTCCCCAGGTGAGCTACAGGTGAGCGGGACCAAATAGTCGTCGCCCTGCTTTATGCAGCTTGCACAGTCTGATTACTTAAAACGTTGCTGTTACGACATTAACAGAAGTCAAAGGTGAAGGGCTCTTTGCTTAAAAATGTGTGGCTGTAGGATGTCAGG